ATATTGAGGGAAAGCTACTAAAGGAACTCCGTGGTATGCTGACTCATAAAGGCTGTTGTGTCCAACATGGGAGACAAAAGCTTTGATATTCTTGTGAGCCAATAGATCATTCTGAGGTAACCACTCCACGACTTTAATGTTAGATCCCAAGAACGATGGAATATAACCTGTGAGAGAAGATAACAGGTTATAGGAAACACAAGGAATAAAATTGTGTCAACAATCCGCAATAAAATAGCCGCAGACAGATAAGCGTTCGGATCTTTTTCTGTAAGGGAAAGCAGCGTGAGAGCAAACAACTAGTTATACGAAACACAAGGAATGAAATTGTGTCAACAATCCACAATGACAACCGAAAACAAATCGGCATGCGGATCTTCTCCGTTAGGGACAGCTGTGTATATAACACTTAGGCTTCTCATGGGAGCTACGTTCGATTTTCCAAAGTTGTTATTTGCTAATCTATCCAATCTTCTCATCCCGATCAACCATCCTTCTGTTCTTGGCATATTGATTTTCATTCAGTGTGTATACGCGTGCGCGTGTTTGTTTTCTTCATCTTACCACAGTGGTAGTTTTCTGTTCTCAGTAAACCGAGGAATCGCAATGTCACGACCTAATGAAACTCACTGACATTACATTGTTATTTGGCACAGTAATTAAGGAATTTCAATACGTACGAAAACGAAATCGTGTCACTTAGGTAAAAGGAATAACCTTGATCATTTAACTTCCATGAGTGATCAAGACAGAATTTCTCCTTACAATATCAATACATAATCAAGCAGACAAGTGATGAGAAAAAAGAAGGAAATTCAATTAGAGGACTACAAGTGGATTCAATACCAAATTCTCCAAACTGACATCATGAGTATTTTATGGCAGACAGTAGGAAGAATTACTAATGAGATCTTGAGGATAAAGGGGTGAAAGTAAACGTTTAAAGGAAATTAGTGATAAAAATACTGTTGATACCTTTAAGTCTCCAAACAACTCTCTGTTTCAACTTTCCAAATGCTGTTGCTAACATGTCCACAACTGTTCTTGGAAGAATCGAAGCCAAGTTTGATCCAAAGGAAACAATGATAAAACCATCCCCTCCTGGATTATCGACGAATTCTTCTAGATCAGGAGGGAGTGGTTTACCTTCTCTGACACTCAGTGGTCCAACCATAATATTCCCTTTTCAAAATAATACGAACAGAGATGAAACATTCACGAAT